GACTCGAACCCAGAAGCTTCGTTCTTCGGCATCCATCAATGTTAATGTCTAACTTTGGTGAGTCTAAGAATTTTGTGCAACCACACCTATTGTCTTCGATAGTTCCTGCATTCAATTGACATAGCTGAACTCCACTGATATCGGTTTCTCTGTAGAACTCCGAGAATTGCCTCATGATGCTAGTCACTAGTGAAAACATTTTAGGCTTTTCCATTGCATACTGCTTCCAGGTTTCTAATGGTGATCTAACGATGATTGATTCACGATTTCAGTGTAAAACAACGATTTCCATAACTCTATAACGAAAATACTAGGGCATGGTGACCATATATATTTGGACAATGACAATAATTATATATATTCAAGTGGTTTCGGCTAGAGTGAAATATTTTATAGTCGAAAACATTAACTTGACCCCCATTGAACGCGTTAGTAACTATAAGGACTGATTATTTTCGGCGGATAAGACGTCGGCAAAATATACTGTGTTGGATTCGACTCCTATAGATTACTTAACTTTACTCAAAGTTTAATATGGTTTAAATAAAAGGATTTATGTATTGTTTTTTCAACTTTTAACTTGCAATTTGTCGATTTAAAATTTCTTTTTGGCCAAATGTATGTGAAACATTTTATAATATCTATCACAGTTATTTCTATGTATGTACCTGTATAGTCGATAAACGTTTCGTTTCACAAATTAAGAATTGCATTTTTATAGTCATTTCAGGAACAACAGATTTTCGGACATACAAATATTTGAAAAACCATCAATTTGGAATACCTCTATGCATTTTATGAGTATATTTTCAGTAATCATCACCATAAATTAAGAAAAGATAATTTTTACTCGTCTGCAAAACAAAACGAAACCTCCTAATTTAGTCTCAGAATATGCGAAGTTAGTTACGTCACCGATTCGCAACCCCTGAAGAATCACTGATAATCTAAGAGTACTGGAAAAACTATAAGAACTTGTTCAATTAGTGTTGTGAAGAAAACTGAAGCAAAATATACTATTTCCCGTAGGGAAAACTAGTTTTTATAGATTGATGATCTCAAAGTCAATGTTTAACACTCATTCCAATAAGTCCCTTATTTTATCGACCATCGCTTAGTGCTTTTGTTGTACGCGGAATGAACCACATCTCCACTATTCGTGACTTCTCAAAACATTTTTACAAATCTATCGATGATTTCTAAGATTGAGGAGTTCAAACATGTTCGACATGAATCAAAACAAGTGTCTCTTTTAACATGGGGTGTTGGTTGTACATAGCAGGTCAGAATATTTCAGGATTCTATATTTGATCTTTGGATATGCAATGAAATTCAAACTGATGATGAAATGTTTAGTAGAGGTATACGATAGATCACCCGAAAACATCTAGACTTATCTACAATATGATCACTGTCAACCAGGTGTGCTAAGATCGAACTGCGTATTATTTTTGACTGACCCTTCTTAAACCATGCTGGGACATGTTCAATCATTCGTTGGTCAAGTTGCCTGGTAGTACGCCCGATATAACTATCTCCATAGGAGCAACTGAATTTGTAAATGCAGCCAAACTTGCGTTGACCTTCTCAAGTCGATCAGTGATGTCTACCCAAACGAAGGATCAATTACATGAGTTGGTCTCATCTATGTGTATTTACAAATTCAGCTGCTCCTGTGGAGATAGCTATATCGGGCGTACTACCAGGCAACTTAACCAATGAATGAGTGAACATCTCCCAGCATAGTTTAAGAAGGGTCAGTCAGAAATGTTTGATAATCAATGGTCTTTATCGATCAATGATAAAAAAGTAGATTTCTAATTGAAGATAAACTACAGACTATCATCATGACCTAATTTAAAAATTTGTTGGATCTAGTTGTGGTGAAGTTTATTTATCGTAAGAAAACTTCAGACATAGTTTACATACTATCTAGTAGTATTCATCACTTAGTTGAGTTAGCTACTGCGTAAGGGGAAAAAATTTCTCATTGTGGAATTGAAATTTTTATCGTTGTCAGACCGATCACCACTCTAAATAACCAATATGTATTAGATTGAGAAACCTAACGTTTACTCTGTATTTACTGTGCATTAATCTGGTTCTTAACTCTAGACAACTGTATAATGACTCGCTATGAATCAATCTGAGACAACTTGAAAATTAACAACTCTCTATTTAGTACATTTTTCCTACACCTTGATCATCAGTCAAAATACGTCAAGCTCATGAATTAAGTTTATTTTTATGTTTTATAGTGATAAAAATTATAAAATCAACCAAAACTATACTTTGGTAATATTTAGTCTGTCAGGTAATATTCACTTTTGTGAATATGTTTGTAATGTTCGATAAATAATACTTTCAAAGAGATTAGCAACTATGTTTCCCTCTTAAAAAAAGGCAAGCACTTATCAAAAAGTGAAGTATAATATATATGAAGTTAATTATTCAATATTTTCCTAGTTAACATCATTTTGACAAAATTACTAACTAATGTAGTAATTCAGTTTACTGTTTGTGCTCGATCATACAATAAAAAACCACTACATTCAAGACCTCACGTATTTGAATTTAGCAATCTTGTACTTCAGACGATAAAAAATATACAATTTTGAATAAATTCACTATCGTTTGAATCAATTAAACCGTCAAACCGTCAAACATTACAAATAAAGCATTTAGTTCATGTTTGCAAGTTGAACAAATTATTAGAAATGATTGTTGAAACTTAAAATAATCATGAATGGTAAGCTTATATTTTTACTTGATCGAATGTCATAATCCTAACGATTTCAAATCACCCCTGTTTCTTCCATTCTTTAACTCCGATGTTCTTTGATTGGGGATAAGAAAGTGACATTTTTAGCTGATTAATTGTTCTGTCTTTCGATATCAATTTTATCCCTAAATATCTTCGTTCATAAAATTTATTCTCGTCACTAATCACAGATCGTCCAATCCGTGTAGGAAAATAAATCTCTGAGCTCTGATAAAACCATGAAATAATCTTGCTTCATGGTTGTGATTGGATATTGCGGCCAGAATGTTCACAATATTAGTGTTTAGGAAGTGTGTAGACGAACAGATTGACAAAAAAAAATAATAAAAGCTTATTGTCGCCATCTAAAACTTTTAAATTATCTGTCGAATATTTGAAATACACGTTAAATGTAAATTCTTAAATTTCAGACGACCTAACCAGATTCTATGAGGAACTAAAGTATTTAAAAACCAAAAAAAACCTCGTTTGTAAGTTTACCTACTTATGATAAATAAAGTAGCATATTTTATAAATAGAAAATACAGAAGTGCATGCATTTGACCAAGCTGAGAATAAAACTACATTGGTGAAGCTAAACTAAATAAATAGTAATTCAAATGTAATTAAACTGTAACGGATGCAAGCAAACAAAATCAACAGAAAAATAAATTAACAAGGATGATGCTTAACAAGCATTAAAAACAATTTTGGGTGGAAAAAATAATTGAATTACATCACTAAATTACAACGACTAATACATTTACGCCTTACATGCAGGTTATATTATATATTGAAAATAAAAACGATCTCAACAAATCATAAATAAATACGGTTCGTAAATTTAAAGATCAATCAACTTAAAAGTGTATTATTATTTATTGATAGAAACCAAAATACACGTTGACAAACCACAAGTATTCACTTCAATTAAATAAAGTAAGTACAAGAAGTTTACTTAACAACATCCACGGTCTGATTCTTATTGGCGATTATATATTTTCATAACTCCACCTGGAGCCCCTCTGGGAGTACTGCCCGCTCTAAGCCCAGACAAAGGAATAGTGTTAGGCATGGAGTAAGCGATCCCATCCTTAGAAAACGAACTAGCACATTACATAAAATGTGAACAGGCTACCGACATTATAACAGAACTATGTATCGAACATGAAAATCATTTTTGTTTTCAGTACTCGTGCATATCTTGTAAACAAATCTATACGCCTAAGAGTATTATCTTGCTGTTATAACTTAGAAATGGAAAAAGTCAATGTTTATCTAAATGCAATAGATCAGTCGATAAGTCATTAGAGTTTGGACTAAAAAAACGATTAAGTTCCAGTTTTATTATGATCTTCAATACAAGTTTACTAGTCCTATTTCATGTAATTTACAAAATGCCAACCATTTTGGCATTAAAAATATGTATCGACTAGTCAAAGTTATTTCCTTACATTTAGATACGTTGAACTTATTTATATCCTCACTGGTGACTAGCCTCATGAGGAAATTCTCGGAGTTCTAATGAGAAACCGTGACCAATGGCGTTAAAACCTGTCGAATGTCTCGGCAGTAACTACCGAAGACAATGGATGGTGTTGTACAAAATCCTCAGACTGATCGAAATTAGACACTAACACCATTCAATGCCGACTCAGTGGTATGGGAGTTTAGCGTTCGCGCCTCACGCCGGAGGTCCTGGGTCCTTTTTCCGCGTGCGAAGTTCACTAACTAGCACCGCTGATCAGTCTCATATCCGGACGAAAAGGCCACCCAATGCTTCCAGGTTTGTGCCAGTGGTCTAACAATGATTAGTTCATGATTTCATCGTAAATTTATTTTCATAAAATAAAAACTATTGAATTTTTTAAAGTTTATTCTATTAGTTGATATGTTTTTTGGTTTTAACACATACAGAAGATTTTTTCCTAATACCAAATGACTTGTAATAGATTTCGCTTTGATATCATTTCAGAACAAAATTATATGCACTGTGCGACTCATATTTCACAGATAATAAACAGTTTAAATGCTTGCATTTAACTTGATGGATCAGTGATAGTGAATAACTCGTGCAATCATTAACACACAGGTGTGCCGTTTCTAGTAGGCATTACTAGTCTATTTTATGAAAAGAAAACCCCTTTTTATTAACAGAATAAGTGTTTATTTTTACACAGCATACACTACATATTCGAAAAATTTCAAAAACAATCATTGAAAATTTTATTTTAAAAAATGCGGTAGTATTTATTGTTTAAATGTGTGAACATTTCGCATTGAGAGAAACAAAAAAGAAAGAACAATTCAACTGTTATTCAACATCAATTGAACAAGAATTTCAAAAGTAAATTTTGTAATGCCAACAAATCAAAGAGATCATCATCATTAGGATTTTTGGTAACTTAAAATCAAATGAATGAGCGTGAGTGTGTGTGTGTGTGTGTATTTGAAGATTGTTTCCTGGTTTTTACTCACCCATAGTTTTGTAAGATGATTTTAATGTGATCTAGAAAAGTAAGCATAAGTTTGAAGTAACTAAAAATTGTCATATTAACTTAAAAACATACTTTAAATACAAAGCAAGAATTATGAAACAAAAAGTAGTTTGAATTAACTTGATGTTCCGGATTGAGTGTAGATCACATTCTTTCTTAGTTGATCATATTGCTGGTGCTGGTGGTCTGATCCATGATAGTACGAATTGCACTGACATTCACACTTGTTGAATAGGCTGGCGACCATTTGAATTCAATGTTTCAATGGGTTTGAACGTTTCAAACAAAAAGTACCGGTGTCGAGTTTTGATTTTAAAGTCAACACTGAGAAGTCGACAGGTACATTTAATTGATAAGGTTTAAATAGGACGAAATACGCACCGAAGACTTGTACTTCTAGCTAAATTGTACTCTATATACTTGAAAACGAATTATATACCATAGTTTTATGAATAATTAAAAGATATATTCATATAGACTAAATATTTTTCAGTTATGTTCAATAAAGATTATTTTTTTTATGAGTTTGTTTTACTAATTAACAAACACCAAAATATCACACACCAAATGGACGTACAAAGACCACCCTGAAAAAATGAATCTAAAATCGATACATACTGAAGAAAGGCTAGGAACTAGAAAAAAAATGAACATATTCAATGAAGCTTAAGGAAATTATTATTGTTAGATGCCACCGACTCACTGGTCCGGCAGCTAAGTGTCCACGCACAAGGCCGAAGGTACTGGGTTCGATTCCCGCAAGCGGGAGGTGTTGAATGTGCACTGCTGAAGAGTTACTCACTAGGAGGAAATGACCGTTCAATGCTCCCAAAATTCTAATGTTTGTTGAACAATGACTGATTCATGATTTCAATGACAGACAACAATCTCCATTAGTCTATAGTGTAAAATTATTTTATTTCATTGAAACATGCAATTTTACGCACATTCTCTATATGAGCAATTAGTTAAAGGATTGATGATTCATTCATAGTTAAGTTATTTGATTTCATATGTTCATGCATACTAATTCAAATCTACAATGTGATTATCAAAAGATACCATTTGGCTGGCAAGCTAGGTTTATTTTTAAAACCAGATAGTGTCATTGATCTTTGAAATGATACTAAAAAGTGAAGCAGTACCATTGTTAGTAATTGAATTTCATGACAAAACTAGTTCATTTAACAATTTCTATCATTGTTAAAGCATAGAGAAATAGATAGAATGCAAATTTACACAGATTTTCACATAAGAGTCTCTTACAATAATTTAAAATAGTAGCATGATACCAAGATGGATTAAATACAAACAGGTTAATAGAAGATTGATGAATCTATTAAGAGTTTTGATTCCTTTTTTTGTAAACATTGTTAAAATGTGACAAAAGCATGAGTTTATTTGCATACATATATCACAACAGTACTAAATGATCAGTGAAACTTCACATCATTTGTGTTCTAATTAAAGAATACTGGTCATGAACTATATAAATAATAATAATGACATGAATGAATTATGAATTCGACTAACTGATCAGTTTTATGTTGGTGGACGTGAATGGGGTACGTTTCTTGTTTGCAACATATTTAGTGTGCATTTATAAGTTTACGTGCTCTTGTGAAGCGAGGTATATGGACAATACAAAATGAACACTCTCGGGTGTGCGATTCTAAAAACTGTCCTGATTAGTCCTCAAAAAGATTACAAGAATTGGTTATTGGTTCAACTTCTGCGCACTTCGCTAACACTAGTCTAAGTGGCTCAAGGGAATTCTGTTTCAAATTCATCCGTACATTCACAGGAAATGATTCAATCTAACTAGAAACTTCTTCACTACATAGTCTTTAGCGATCCGCCGATTCTAGCTTGATCTCTGAGTATGAGATTCTTAACACCTTCAATATTGAATGGCACTTTGTTAGTACCATTGCGTTATTTCTTCAAAAATAATCTAGCTATTACTAGAAAATGTAATTATTCTGTTCTTCTAATACCTCAAATGAATGAATATAAGGTTTTATCGATCGGTAACCGTTAATTCATTACGTAACTTTCTTTCAATTTTTTTGTTATCTTCAAACATTTTTTTTCACATATTACAATTCGATTGTCATAATTTAAAGCTGACAATAATCTTCCATCTTCACGTAATCTTTTCAACTGTTGAAGACATGTTCAATGATCACTGTCATGTTGCAGCATAATTCTACTGATAACCTATAAACACCATCGTACAGTTCCAATAAATGACGTAGTCGATAAGAACACTTCGTTGAATTGTCTTTTTTTTTCAATGATTCACTCACTGGGTTTCCTTTGGCAATTACTTAAACATTTTTTGAGTATAATATTCATTAGTTTTCCATAAAACTTCTACTAGGAAAGGATCATTTCTTATTTTGTTTAAGAAAATTCTAATGTCCCCCTTTGTTTATTCATCATTCGTACTGTGATTTCATAAATGAACCAGTCTCTATTCATGTGTCTCTATTTCCTGCCCAGCTGAGTGGTATAACGTGAAGAAAAGGAGGGCAGTATGCATTTAAATTACAATTGTTTCTAGTCTGAACAACTGGTTTCAAATTGATATACCGCTAGTTTGTAGTGGTAATTAATTAAATCTAACACATTTGAAATTTGAAATTTGACGGCCGGCCAGGACGAAACAGCTGTTCAGTGCTTCTAGGTTTCTAATGGTGGTGTAAAAATGATTGACTGATGATTTCAAATGTGTGAAAACGCGAACCTCCAAAACTCTGCTCCAAAATATCGTAACAGTGCTCATTAGGACTAGCTTCGTGAGGAAATTCTTGGAGTTCTAGTTAGAAGACGTGACCATTGGAGTTCAACCCTGTCGGGTGTAGGCAGTAACTACCAAAGACAAATGGGTGAGGTCGCGCAAAATCCTCAGATCAATCAGAGTTAGACATCAACACCGTTGGGTGCCGGCCCAGTGGTCCGATGGTAAGGCGTTCGCCTACAATGCCGAAGGTTCTGGGTTCGAGTCCCGCGAGGAGCAGGAGTCGTGGATGCGCACTGCTGATGAGTCCCATACCAGGACGGAACGGCCGTCGTGCAGTGCTTCCAGGTTTCTAATGCTGGTCTAACAATGATTGATTGATGATTTCAAATGTGTAAAAACACTAATCACCATAACTCTAAGTAACAATTAAATCTAATCTAAATAATTCGTTTTATTTCAAAGTTCAACTAGATATAACAATAAGTAAAAAGTTGTCCATGATAAATTCTACAATACTACTACAATGGTACATGAAAAAGTATTTTTTTTTCTAGGTAATTCAATATATTACTAGACCTCGTCGAATACACTAAGTAAGATAATGAATAATTCAAAAAAATCTCTATTTCATAGATTCTCTGCAAGGATTTTAGATTAAAATAGCAAACGTGCTTACACTCTACCTAAATATATATATATATATATATATATATATATATATATATATCTTGATGAATTGATTAACTAAGACGAAACTTCATCCAAAATGTGTTTAGAACCGTAAATCCTGAATTCAGTCAATAAAATGCATCAGTTCACATCAGGCGTCACCAAAAATAACAGAAATTGTTACACTGAATTAGTTTACACAAAATTGGTCCTTAAAAACTATCCAAAAAGTAAGATACTTTATTTTCACAACAGAAAAACATATTTGATTGATAAAGGCTGTATTCTCCTAAAATTGTTGAATAAGACACTTTTCAAATCAAATGCTTTTTAAGCCAATGATCTTATTGTTAAAAAAAAACTGATTTTAAAAATACAGATGTTCGAAAATATGTTTCTTAACTAGATCACAGCTGTTTTCTAAATATGTAACGCTTAATGACTAGATTTGTTTTTCAAAGGAATGGTGGATTTTTATGTTTGGTAGTATTATGTATTTTATTGAAATCGTGAATCGATCAATGTTAGACCATCATTAGAGACTTGGAAGCACTTCAATGAGCGGGCATCCCTGAACTCCTCTGTACGTGGGAGTCAGACCCAGGACCGCCAGGTCCTGCCGGCAAACGCCTAACTTCTAAGCGACTGAAACGGCATCCAACGATGTTAATGTCTAACTTCAATCAGTCCATGATATTGCGCGATCTAATGCATTTTTATTGTGGGAAACTAACTGCTTTACAGCTTCCAGATATCTAATAGTGGTCTGGCATCATTAATCGATTCATCATTACAAGGAGACTCGACAATCTCCACAACCCTATAATGAAAAAAAATACTATTGATTATTATTATCAATTGATACATTTTATTTACCATCTTGTATTAGGCAATCTAGTTTAATGTTATCATTGACTAATAAATTCACTCTACTGGCCTAATAGCTTGCATGTATTCATGCAAATTTTCCTGTATATCAGAATGAAATTTGATAGGGATCTAGGTGGAAAACACTATCATTGTTTGATATATGTTGTTCAGCTTATAGTCAATTACTATACGCATACTTTTATTAAAATAATCTGATATATTGCTAACTTTTATTAAAAAATTTCAACAGTGTTTATTTATGATGAGAAAATATCATTGAATTAGTTGCTTTATTTATTATTGAGCAATCAATTTGACCCCGATACTTATGTCATCAAGAATTTCGGGTCAAAATTGCAGTGGAAGTTAAGTAGTTACATTGAAAATTATGCATAACATTGTATTAGTGCACTGGATTTCAGAGTTGTGAGTTACTAAATTCTCATTTTGACTGCAAAACATGATATTTCTGTGTTCATCCAGATACTTTATATATATAAGGTCAATCAGCAGCAGCCACATGAGAGATTTGCTTAAACTTAATCAGAAATGTCGTAAAGGACAAATGCATGCCATCTACAAAGAAATTGATTCGTTTTCTAAAAGGACAAAACATATGTATATTTGAGTATTTTTTCCGTAATGTTTGGAGGCGAAATGGACTTTCATTTTTACGCTTGCCTTTTTGCTCAAACAGCTAGTTTGAAAGGTGAGCACGTATCATGTTCAGATCTCTAACTTATCTCATCATAACAGTACACAGTCGTGAATGTGAGTAACCTACAAGTAAGTCTTCATCTCAAATAAACATCACTGATACACCAAATTTACAATGGCAACATGGTATGAGTAATTGCTCAGTTAAAAAGTTACTCATTACACTTTTATACAAATAATATTTATGAAACCATGAATCGATCAATGTTAGGCCACCATTAGAAACCTGGAAGCACTGGACGGCCGTTTCATCCTGGTATGGGACTCCTCAGCAGTGTGCGTCCGCGACTCCTGCACCCCACAATATTCGCACCCAGGACCTTCGGTACTGTAGGCGAACGCCTAACCTGGGTTCGAATCCTGTGGGGTGCAGGAGTCGTGGACGCACACTGCTGAGGAGTCCCATACCAGGATGAAACGGCCGTCCAGTGCTTCCAGGTTTCTAATGGTGGTCTAACATTGATCGATTCATGGTTTCAAAAATGTGTAACTTAACAACAATCTTCACAACCCCGTAATGCAAATAATATTTAGTTTTAAAAATAACTTGAACTCACATCTAACGAATCACTTTTATCCATTGCATAATTGTTATAATTATTACTATGACCAATACTATTGTTATTATTATCAATGTTTCCAGATTCACTGTCATCCAAATTTGTTATTGGTATTGATTTTCTCAGTTCACACATATTATGTGTTTCCAATATAAAATAGTCCGGTTGCAATTCATTACTATCTGAAAGCATGGAACAATTGCTAGCATTTGTTGTCTCATCCGAATCTTCCACAGGTGCATTGCCATTATCATAGTCATCCATGGAGGAATTCGTTGAAAAACAACCAGGTGATGAAAATGTTAAACTTTTTTTAGCTTTATAACGTTTACGACGTTCTTGTCGACGTTCCGAGAAAGATTTCATTGATGTATCTATGCTGGCTTGATGCACTTGGTCAGGATTAGTTTCAGTGTATTTTCCATTCATGATAGTTTTCATTTCGTCACTAGGCGTGCTAATATCTGAATCATCCAGCTGGTTTCTAGTGTTCTCTTGACTTTGAGGACCTTAAGTCAAATGTAAATAAGCGATATTGTACAAAGTTTGTCGTGAAACGTATTAATTTGTAAATTATTATTACTACTATCGATTTTGTACTCTGTGATTATTTCCGTTCATATACAAATATGTTGTAAGATGGAATGCAGCTTGAAAGTAAAAAAGAATTTAATCGTGTAACTGATATGACAAATATATCCTAAATTTTACTTGTCGACTTGCAGAATTTTCTCGAAGCGAATAAAATTTACATTTTTCAAAAAAAAGGAAAGATAACTATTTATACTAATTCAAACAAGTCATCACATTAAATTATATCAATTTTATGTTGTTAGAAAGTTGAAACAACTGCTTTAAAAATGTTTTCCAATGTGTTTAGCCTTTATGACCCTATTTACATTTTTACTTTGAACTAAACAAAAATGTCAGCCCTCTTCTATGATAACCTAATCTAGTAAGTAAGTAAGTGATTTTCAAAATTTTACCCTAAAGACCCAATGATGATAGATTGATTTGTTTGTTCGAATATGAAGAAAAAAAACAACTTAAAGTTGAACAAAACCAAAACTAATCCCATTTCAATCATGTCTTTTTTTATGAAGTGAAAAATTACAATATCAGCTCTTATAGTGAATGCTAATGATGGAATCTTAGTAACATCATGTTAAGGTCAGTGGGAAAATGTAATTCTTGAAATTATAAAACCGCCTTGTCTGAAGAGAAATATTCAGTTTATTCATGTACAATCGTTGCCAATAAGTAGCCATTAATGAGATATGCAGGTCCAGTTTTAGTAGCTAGGTTGACTGAGATCTTAGGTAGAATCTGAGAACTGGACGTAATCTCATCCGACTGGTCTCAATCCTTGATTGTCCCAATTTATAAGAAAGGACAAAAGTCCTCTTGTGACAATCACAGGGGAATAAGTCTAACTAATATAGTTTCTAAATTGTTAGCATCGATTATACATAGACCCCTCACTAGTGCTCGTGAAGAGCAGACTAGAGGAAACCAGGCTGGTTTTCGACCTGGACGTGGATGTATAGACCACATTTTCACACTACGACAAATCCTGGAACACAGACACACATTTAGGCTTCATACAATAGTTGTCTTCCTGGACCTAAAAGCGGCATTTGACTCAGTGGATCGTGAGGTTCTGTGGCAGTGCCTGTCATTGAAAGGTGTACCAATGAAGTACATTAACCTTATAGAAGCACTCTACTCGAACACCACTGGTCGAGTGAGAGCTTATGGCGAACTGTCACCGGCATTCTTCACTTCAAGTGGTGTCCGCCAGGGATGTCCGCTCTCTCCATTCTTGTTTAATTTTATCATAGACATGCTCCTAGAAATAACCTTATCCTTGTCTGAATTTTCATGAGTAGACGCTTTACCAGGAGGCTCGCTTATCGACTTAGAATATGCCGATGACATAGTCCTACTTGGTGAAGACGCTGACAGAATGCAGAGTCTTCTGACCACCCTAAGCAACAATGCAAGCATGTTCAGGATGCGGTTCTCACCCTCGAAATGCAAAACTTTGCTTCAAGATTGGGTCTCATTGGCCTCTGAACTGGTGATAGGGAGTGAAGTAGTCGAACGTGTTGATTACTTCACTTATCTTGGGAGTCTCATCAGTGCTGATGGTCTGGTGACTGACGAAATCTCATCTCGGATACAGAAGGCTCGATCGGCTTTTGCCAACCTGCGTCATCTATGGCGCAGTTGAGGTATCCGTTAGCTAACCAAAGGACGAGTGTACTGTACTGTTCGCTCCGTCCTACTCTACGGATGCGAGACTTGGCCGTTAAGAGTGGAGGACTTCCGTAGGTTACTATTCTTCGATCATAGGTGTCTCCGAAGCAATGCTCGTGTATGATGGGACAACCGAGTAAGCAATGCTGTAGTTAGGAAACGAGTTCTAGGTAGGGATGGCGAATCATTAGATGAAGTGGTGTAACTTTATCAGTCGAGTTGGTTGGGACATGTGTTACGTATGGCTAACCACCGACTGCCACGACGAGCTATGTTTTGCATTGTAGGAGTAGGTTGGAAGAAAGCTAGGGGCGGCCAAACCAAAACATGGCACAAATCCATGAAGTCACTGACAAGTGGACTGAGTCATGTTGTCAGATGTAGGCTACGTGGTTTGGGTCCGCGAGACGATAGTCACCGATGGTTAGAGACGTTGAACGACATGGCTCAAAATCGTTTGCAATGGCGCAGGTGCATTCACACTTTGTGTTCTATGAAATTCTAAGCTTCCTCATAATCTCTATCTTTCTTCTTCTAAATTTATCTTACTGAATTATACTTCTCGAATCATATCTTCGCCCCCTAATCTTCTCCATTACTGCCACTACTTCTATTATTGCTATCACTCTTGGATTTGAACTGACAGTTACGTCTCTGTGATGATGGGGTATGGCAACCTGAACTGATGTACTTATGTACGAAGTTCTGCGTTGTATCTGTCTGTCTATGCATCTTCACATAAACTCAGGCTTAGGACAGGTATTTTGATAGTGCTGTATTTCCAACTATCTTTCTAGGTAGTAATTACTGATGACATTGTTAAATAATTCTGTTTATGGCTCAGTTTACAACTGAATATCACGTTGTGATAACGATCAACCAAAGAAACGAAATAATATTTATGTTCTGTAACAACACATTTGTGTTTACTGTTCGGGGAAATGCTCCCCATTTTTAATGAATCTTCCGGGTTTTAAACCGAAATAAAAACAGTTCTTTATACGAATTACCGCGTATCGTTAGAATGTGTAAACAGAGAAGAGTACTGATGACATATTATCATGATTTGCAATTATTAGGCCTGAAAAAATTTAACCGATTGAAAAAAAATATATATATTTATACATTTACAAATAGAGCAAGATATAAATCATTTTTTATTTTTTTATTAGAAATGAATGACTTTTGTACGACTTCATTTTTTCAAAAACAAACTAGTACGTTTATTTTCATCCATCTTTTTTATCCCCGATAATAAATAAATATCTGGTTGTTTTTGCTTCTGGATTGTTGATATTTAAGAAGAAAAAAGGTTTTTAGAAAAAGCAAAAACAACATCAGTTTGAATGTTTTCCTTTATTTTTTTTTGTGAACAAGCGGAAGTTAAATATTTCAATAATTTGTAAACAAAAAAACCTCTGTCTGTAAAGAGTATTTGTTGCATTTTCTTTCGGTTAATATTTACTTTCAAGTGGAAACCTGTAAACATTTAGGGTAACGAGAAAATGATTTATTATATAGGTTGCATAACCTGCTGTCGACTGAGAAAATACAAATCTTTAAAGGTCATACAGTTCTGATAACTTACTTCCTTCATTCAGTGGGCCATACCGTACTCGCAAGTCGGCAACATAGCTTTCAGCTTGACATAATAGTCGGGCTTGCCTATTTTGATGACTCAGTCGACTACAGGACGATAAGACTAAAAGCTACAAGTTAAGGTCTGAGGACGAAGGTGTAACGGCCGACTGTATAAGGGTTTGATGACAGTAAGTTGTTTCCCTCAGGCAACCAACTTTCTCACAAATGAGGGAAGTTGTTAGAAATCGTTTACCCTTATAAAGTCACACCTCACCTTACTCCACGGATTTCTATCAACTGTGGTAAGGTATTAATAAGCGTAGCTAACGATTCAAAAACTTCCATACGTGACCGGTCTCAAGCAGTTATCCCTTGAGCTGTGTGGTCATGCTTGCAGGTCGCTAGGACTAACTCTGACCCAACTTCCTGTTCAGGCCCTTCAAGAAACACTCTTTCACAGTGTGTGCAGCCTGGAAGAGACATCGGCCATCATATACCTAGCACCGCTGATGCAAACTATTTGAGTATACAAAACATTCTTGATTACCAAAGAATGAATGTACATACTGATCGACGACTCAATAGTAACTAATATTGTTTCTGTGTTAGGTGAGTTTGATACATCATGTTGTAATACAGCCTTTAGCTTAATTGACTTAACATCTCTAGAATATTTGAATCAATCAATCAATCAGTCAGTAGCAACGTAGAACTTCGTACGTACGTACATCAGTTCATATTGCCATACCACTTTAGCACAGTTCAAATCCAACAGTATTAGAGGTAGTAAAAGTATTAGCAGTAGTCGGAGAGGTTAGGAATAGAAGATATAAGTCAAGAAGGGGAAAGTTAAAGATAAAGTGATGAATAATCAAGAAGTTTAGGATTTGAGAGAACACAAAGATTAAATGCACCTGCGCAATTGCAAATGGTTTTAAGCCATGTCATTCAGGGTCTCTAACCGTCGGTTAATATCATCTCGCGGACTCCAACCACGTAGTCGACACCTACCGACATGACTCAGTCCACTTGTCTGTGACTTCATGGATTTATGCCATGTTTTGGTTTGGCCGCCCCTATCTTTCTTCCAAGCTACCCATACACCTGAAAAAATAGCTCGACGAGGTAGTCGATGGTTAGGCATACGCAAGATATGTCCCAACCACCTCAACTGATGAAGTTCCAATACTTCATCTACTGATTTGCTATCCTTACCTAGCACCCGTTTCCTAAATCGGTTGTCTCAGGATATACGAGCAATGCTTCGAAGACACCTATGATCGGAAACCAGTAACGTACGAATATCTTCTACACTCTAGAATATTTCAATGATATGCAGTCCGATATAACTGACCGAAAAACGTTTATTCCTGTGCATAGAATTTGTCAGTAGGCTGTATTAAAGATATCTTATTAGTCAGTGTCTATATCTGCAAAACTTAAATCAAGTAGCTCCTGACAATTGCCACCAAACATTTAGAAACATGCTAACTTAGTGAATCAATGTTGTCCTTCCAATTTGTAAATCAAGTAACTAACTCTATTCGTACCAAACAATTTACAAATTATAGTCTAACAAGTATGTTTTTTCTTCATTAATAATATCAACATTTTTACACAGAAATATTATTCACATATTAATCTGAAATAATGATCTACATTTATAGACATGAAAAAAAATTGATTTGATCTTAAAATAGGCATGAAGAATATACGGTACTGATGTAAACTGGTCACAGTTTAACAGGACAGAGTATCACAAGACAAACAAACCAAAAAAACAGCTGTTAATGAAATCGAACAATATTTTGGGCTTTAACAACTATTTTTTATTTGTAAAAATACAACTTGATTATGAAAGAAAAAGCTTCATTTGATCAAGCCATAATGACGTATTCGAAACTGTATTCTGTTTGTGTAATGCAGATAAAATGTGTTCAATCTTGGTAAAACAAGATTCACCAACAGCTGTCTCGAACAGTTAGAACACTTTATTGATTTTCGCGCATATAAAGAACTTTAGAGAGGATAGTTTTGATGATGAAATGAAGACTTTGCAAGGTTCATTGATGTGTTCATAACCTACATCATTTATTCATTCCTTACAACGTGGAATGCATTGAGAATATAAGCTAACTGGAATCAGTTATAGTTTTCTTTGTTTATAGATAACGCCTGACTACATGATATTTTGGCTAATGTATTGATAAATAGACACGTTTTGTGTAATGTATGCTTAGTACTACATATGATTGATTCTCAGAATGTTGTCTCAAAGCTTCGTTGTCTTTTCGTTACAATGAGTCCTTAAGATTTCATTAACAGAGATCCTTGATAAAATTATTTACAATCAGACTGCAGTCTAACAATACTTTTTCTGGTATTCATGAATCTTTCATTCTTTTATGACGTATACAATGTGTGATTAGATTGTTAAAAAATAGCTCCAAGTCTTACAAAACTTGTAAGTTAATTGACGTCATCATCATCATCATATGAATTTAGATTTTCTTACTGCGTTTTGACTTTCTGTTTTACTGGTTGACCAATTAGAGGAGGGTAAAATTCTCAAGTTCATCTTTTTAACAGTACGATATAAATTAATCAATAAATGAAATTGGCCTAAACCGTATATAAAAATTTTAATGAACTAACTTACATTCTGAGATTCCATCGATTTTCACTGCATCCATCAAGTTGTTTGATTCGATCACTTCGAGGATATTTGGAACCCTTTTCTGAATTGTCTCATTATGATTTGAGCAAGATGAAATGGCTTCAGGATAGTTTGGTAAATGAGATTTATTCACACCACTTGTTAACCATTTGTATGCTTTCTCAGTTAAAGCATACAAGAACCCAAGGAAACATAAAAACAAGGCTAATCCATATAGTCCAAAGTAAAACTGAAGCATACTGAAAATGTGTGCTTATTCTAAAAGGAAATTAATCAAAGCAATGTATGTCATATACAATTGTGTAATTATTTTAACTTTACCTTAAAGAGCAAAAGAGTTGTTTATAGGAAATTCAAATGAGGGATTTTGAAAGCAAATATAAGTTTCAGTGACCGACTGGAATTTCATACGAATTACTTGTTGCGCAATTATTTCAGCAGGCAATAAGTGATCTCTTCAGGTAACCTACTTTTCGACACGATAGCAGTATTTTACGATAATTCAGCTTCGCGTAAAATTGGTCACTTCAACTACATCAGTTCATGGTGTCTTTGAGCTAGTGGTCAATATTTATACATGATTATACGAGCAGTTGAACAAGTAGACATAGAGTGATGGGCGCTACTCATAAGTAGTATAAAGCAGTACATCGTGTCAAAAGCATGCTGTACTCGGAACACTTTAATGATCGACAGAGAAGCAAGAGAAGTTAAACTGGAAACAACACGCAACAAGATGCAAATGAATAATTTGAGATTAGGTGTACATATTACATAAACACTCTGCAAGACTGCTAGTGCTTATTTCAAAATAGAACTATTAAACACTTGAAATTAAAATCAAGAAAAGTGGTCCGAACATTATGTAGACCTGTCTGTCTTCGTATATATCTCTTGGTAGGTGATTTATGTGTGGTGTATATCTTCTGACAAATCTGATAGAGCTCCAGTCTTGCACATTATTGAGTAAACATAAATCCTTTTAAAAGTAAGATTCCTAACCGTTAGAAAATTAACTGTCTAGCCGAACTCAGCAACTCGGTGGTTAACGCTTCGGTGTCCAGTGAAGTATATTCTGTGTTCAAGTACCAGGGTGAAAATTAACATTGGGATAGGGTCCCAAATGACGTAAAATAGATGTTGTTACTAGGCACAATTCAAAAACAAAAGTAATTTATCTATCTGTCTTAGCTGTCCCGTCATCTTTGTGTGTTTATTTGTGTTTATTTATGAGACAAAATTGCGGGAATTGGCACTTAATCTAAATGTCAGTAATAAGTTCAAAGTGATTCTCAAACTGTACAGTTGCAATAAAATCTTCTTTTTTCTGCGACTGTTTACATTGGTACAAGTTAGATATGGATTTTTCGTTTCAACGTGTCCTTTTCTCATGGCTGAATAAAATAGTTAGAAAAATAAACATTTCCATTCTAGGCAGCGTCCTTAGATGTAAACTTTTAACTGATTTTCTACTAATGATATCTTCTAGGCTGTTTATGAAATGCTGTATTTTACCAAACAAAATTACACTAAATATGGTATAACTTCATTGAAAATATAGAATAATATTTTTCAGTATAATTAACATTATTTTGAATTGTAGATTTATCTCATAATTCTCATCAAAAACATTCTAAATAATACACAAGTTAAAATCTCTGTTGTCGCATCCCTTATCAACAGAACTCATATTCTCTTGTACATTGAAACTAAGCATTTCAAGATTCAAGCATATCACTAATAACTACGACATATGATTAAAAAAATAATCATAAAGCCGCTATTTTCTAATAAATATTAAGTACCAATCGCCGTTAGGAAACAAGTTAGGTATTTCAGTGTGTTTAATACATCCTGTATTATGTAGGTTTAAAGTCTGTCTTTCTAGTACGCATATAATGTTAAAGTTATGTTACTTTTTTATGTGAAGGCTCATCTCCATTGGTAAGCACTTTAAATTGTTTGTCCTGGTCAGCGATATTTTAATAATTTGGTTTTCTACGAGATGGTATCTCTAATCCCATGCTCAACCCTCCTCCTTTATTCGGGCTTGGCCCGGCAGTTAACCTAGAAGGGCTCTAGGTAGATGGTGGTGGTCAACGGGATTGTGAAGACGTCATCATATCCGGGGAGGCTCTGAATACAGTGGACAGCTCGGATGTAATTGGATGATCTGGACTTTGTGGATGATCCAGACTTTCTATCCCACACTCGACAGCGAATTCAGGAGAAGAAGGCCGGTGTAGTAACAGCCTCTACAGCAGTAGGTCTCAAACTACACGAAGGAAAAAGCGAGATCCTTCGATACAGCAGAGTATACACAAACGAAACCAATCTTGATGAAGAAGATTTGGAAGATGCGGAGACCTTAACAACCTGGACAGTATCAGTAATAAATAAGATGGATCTGATGCAGGCATGACGACATGAATCGGCAAACCAAGAGCAGAATTTATACAGTTAAGAGAAATTTTGAACACAGACTAACTATCAACAAACACCAAAGTCAGGATTTTCATTACAAACGTCAGGAAAGTTCTAGTGCATAGAGCGGAATGTTGGAGAACTACAAAAGCTATTTCCCTAAAGTTACAGTTGTCTACGCAAGATACTAAGAATCCGTTGGCCTAACACCATCAGTAAAAATCTACATTGGGAGAGAAAAAGTCAGATCTTAACTGAGTTAGAAGTTAGAAAAAGACCGAGGAATACGCTGCGCCGAGAATCGGAAGCAGACGTGAAATGAATAGACAGTAATTGGTTAAAACTAGAAAGGAAGGCCTAAGACAGAGTTGGTTGAGGAATACTGGTCGGTGGTCTATGCTGCATCGGGAATAACATGCATACGGAATTAAGTAAGTAAGTGCTTCACTTTCATTGAATACTAACATTTTGCTTGTTTAAATGAAAACTATATACTCACTAGATCTATAATGATTATCCAGCCACTACGGCTATCCAATTCAATGATGTAATCAGTGATTATGCAACTTTCATACATTGTTTCATATTCTATCCGATTAATTACAGTAATTCATTTATCAATCAACTATTGTTCAGATTGTGAATCTGTTTATATCAAGTAAATGATTTTTTTTTGATGAATCACCAAATAGATTATTAGAAACTTGCAGACTTAATTTTTATATCACTCTAAATATTGATGATGCCAATAGAGAAATGCACAATTTCATCAACTGATTTTCGATCAATGGAAATATATCTTAATAAAAAAAAACACATTATGATTTATTTTATGAGAAAATGATTTGTGTTTTCTTCCATGTACTATCAAATTGTAACTATTCTATAATAATGCAATCAGAAACGTTTGATGATTATGTGAGAATGACAGATTAGTTCATTCAAAGTACAATGTTGATTATACTTTACTCTAATGATATATGCGATACATGTGAACAATTGAAAATTGATCACGTTTACATTCCAAAGATTAACACTAATACCGATAAGATTTTAAAAGGTAATTAAATATTAAAATTAAAAATGGAATTAAATTGGAAAATATTTGGAACAATCAAAAAAAAATACATTGTGATAATTTATGACACAAAGAAATAATTGAATTTATTTTAAATCTTTAGATAAATTCGGAAAAAAATACGTTTAGCTATAGATTTCACCATGATAACAACGTGATATTTAAGTAAAAATACAGATCAGTTAGTTAAATTACACTGAGAGAAAATGAAAACGTTTATAAAACTAACAATTACCCTAGACATATTCCTCTATTAAATTTGTTCATAAGTTTGCATTTATATTTTATAAAGCATGAACAATGGAAACTTTCAGGAGAATTTACAACTCAAAGATGATAGTGTTTCTAATCAAACAGTTTTGTGACAATTGCTTGATGATATCAAATCAAATCTCAATATGAAAGAAATTATGAACCAACCTTAGCTGTAAAACCATTGAAGATCTAGCACTATCAAATGTCCGTTTTTTGTTCTATTTTTGGACTCTTGCTCAGTGTGGATTTAAGACAAGGAACTAAACTCCGATCTAACTCCAAATTATCGAGTCAGGATTGAATGGTGTACAATTCTAACTTCAATTAATCAAATCTATTGAGCGGCCATCTTCAATTCTTAAATAGTTGGGTACCTTTTAGATAATCGATAAAGAAGATAGTTCTAATCTCATTGTTTGGTTTCACTAAATGTTTTCAACTAGAACCACGACATCAATCAATCAGTCAATCTCCTTCTAATCATTATTATTTCATCAGACAAAAGTTTATCAAGTGTAATGTTTTTTAGTAAAATACTTCTAAGCAGAGTTGAACATTACCTAATGCTGGAGCCCAGGATGTGCATTTCATCTTATTTAGGACTTGTCAAATGCATTTACCTGCATTCCAGTAGTGATGTTTCTATCAGAACATCAACTCAGAATCTTTAGTTCAAACGCTAATCATGTTATCCACATAAAAACAGAGTTCAGATGTCTGTGAATTTAAGCAGCGAGGTGAATTTTAACTCATCTACAAGAGCTGTTTGGATTCAAGCATCACCATTGAAATTCATTTTCATCAAGCCGATGTATCTCAGTGAGAATGAAATGAACATCGTGAATCACACTGTTAGGCACTACTTAACTCTGCTCAAAATGTTTTTCACTTAATGGAAATATCGGGGATATGTGTAGGCCAAAGTAAGTGACAAATCGACTTCAATCCTTAGTATCGACAGTTCAGAAGATTCAAACAAACTGTACAAATGGATTACCACTTTTAATAAGTTTTATTATTCTTTAATCAACCATCATCATATGTTTTGTATTATTTTATGATTTTAAATACATTTTCCAAGTTTTATAAAATAGACAGACATGAAAATATAAAATAAAACCTTATCAAACAACTATTTTATCAGTACTATTTATTGAACGTTGAACTTTTATTTAAAGCCTTTAAAATCATTATACACTACTTGCTAAATAAATGAACAATTTATCAAATAAATACTGATACATCTCTATGAATGTAAAAAACTTGGTAAAATGCTTATTCACTGTGTTTAATATACTGGATAAATTTTAAAACTTTTAATGGCACAAATGTAGGTGCTTCTGAAAATAATTGTATTTAGTGTAATTCAATGAAAAAGGAATACAGTTTTACATTTCCTAGTGTTGTATTGTTTGAAATTTATACTGTTAACCCATAGTTGATGTAGTTATATTGTTGGTGTAAATTAGAGTAAATCATAGTTTAAGGAAGTTAGTTTCGC